TAAAAATATGTGTTTTTTACTGATCCACTCATATACGTGTGTCTACATGTGTATTGTTTATAAAGAGTAAACTATGTTTTTATGAATAATTTGTGGACTATAAGAAGCATTCTGCAGACTATTTTCTAAGCGACATTGTGGCAGTTCTATTGTTTAGTTTTTATTATTTAAATATTTAGTTTTTGCAAAACGGTGGCTTTTTGTAGTCAAAATAAATGCCAGTTTTTTTTCACATTTTTTATTGAACACATTTCAAAGCACATATGTGCTTTAAAAATGCACGTTTTTACAAAATTTAAAATGATTACCTATATAAGATAACAATTAAATAATAAATCCTATGTAGAATTATATTGATATATTGATTGCGTTATGGGTAGCGGATTGCTATTCGATAACTGTATTTGATAGTATGCGATCGATACATCGTACCAGCAGTTAGTGACGGTATATATTACTTAAGGCGTGATTGTCATATGCGAATTTTATAAGCTAATTCACTCTAATATCAGAGATGAGTTTCAGTCCTTCAAAAATATTGCCCAAAATATTTTATTTGAGTTTGAGGCATCCGGACAGAACCCGACGATGTGTTCTGCGATGAAAACAGTTCTGTATTCTAGCATTAAGTTGTAGGTACCGCTGATATAATAAACTAGAGATAAGGAATATTATCAATACATATCTTGAATTATTCAATCCTTTATCAAAGTGCCATTTTAAAATACATAATTTTGTAATAATTTTGTAAGAGTCCGACACGTATTAGTAATCGTAATAATAGTACAACAATTTTCTGGGCACCAATAAATAAAGACACCATTTTTTTTTAATGACAGTATTTACTTGCAATTTTTTTTTATTTAAAACATATTTTACTGAGCAAATTGTCTCAGGTGGTACGATTTGGTAAGTGATTAAATATTTTTTTTAGATTTTAAAATCAAGGCGTATTTTTATATATTGTTTAATAAATAAAAAAGTATATTATTTGAGACTAATTTATAGTTTATGGTTTCAGTTTCTTATGCTCTTCATAATGCCTTCACGAAAGAGTATAAGTTAATTTTATATAACAATGATCATTTTGTATAAAAAACACAACCCAAATATGCATTGGTGTCAGAATTTGTAAGGATTTTTTAAAAACCTGCCAAAGTACAAATCTTGCGACCCTGAGACAGTTTGATCTCCAACTTACCACTTTTGTGAGAAGTTTATTTCGACTTAAGCAAACTTCGTTGGCAACTTTTAAGTTACACATTTAAGCAGTAGTTTACATATTCAGCCAAGTAAACAGAGCACAACAACTTTTACTTACTTAACAACACACACACACACACACTCACCCGAAAGGACTTTCGTATTAAGTCCTTTGGGTGTGCGTTGTATGTTCAAAGTGTGAGCCAACAAACAATTTTCATAACAATTTAACAACATTTGCCTTTGTTGTTTATCAAATTTGTTACTAAGTTTTGCATTCTTTGTTTTCACTAAAATTTTTCTCTTTTTTCTATCGCATTCTTTTTTCCGCATTCTTACTCATACACTTGAGTATGTTTCACTCTGGGAATTGTTTCTGATTGATTATTGTTGGTTATGTCATTGTTGATCCTCTGCGCTTGATTTGTTGTTTGATGTTTGGGATTAAACGAGCTAAACGTATTGTCGGGTTAAAACTTGAGAAAAATTAATTAAATTAAATTTTGTATCTAATGAATATCTTTTTAGCTGAAGGACTAATAAAATGTAAAGATTTTAGGAGGAAAAATCAAGGAAATTGAAGACTGTTCGCTAAAAGCAAATACTTAAAAAAAAAATTAGACAAAATTGTTAAATCTTAAATAAACTAAGATAACCTTACAGTCAATTTAAAACTGCAGGATATAAATAAAATGTTTTATATTTATAAAATGCTTTATACTATTATATCCTATAAGATTTAATTTAAGAAGAAGTTGTCAACAATTTACTACGTTACTGTTCTCCAATTTCAAATTTAATTCGTCCTCATAATTAAATACGTTTAAAAACTATATTCCTTCAAAATTTATTCATTTAAAAAATTTTCAATCGTTTTAACCTAAAACATTATTTTCATCGAATTTTTTTGTAAATATATATTTAATTTATTTTATATACAAAATCTCAATACTATTTTTTCTTGTGAACAGTTTTAACCACTGCTTCTACATTCTATCGCACATCGACTTTCCACATTCGCCCAGATCTATCGGTGCGAAGGAGGCTTTTGAAGGTCTTTATCCTCTAGTTGATCCTCTTCTGTGGCCTAGTGCATCACAGTTAGTGAAGAGATGTTCCATAAACTCTTTCTCATACACCATCTCAACAGCAAAATCTGTAAATCTTTGTCTCGAATGTATCTATTTTGTCTCGATGCTTATTGCAGGCGGTGTGGCCTATTAATGCATTTGAATGTGACTTTAGGCTCCTCTTGTTTAAATTGAGAACAATGTTTGCTATTTAGACAATCAAATTCAAGAATTTCATAGCGTATCTTAATTACTCAATAATAATCTGCTTGCTTGAGCTTACCTGCATTAGCTTATTAAGAAATTAACTTGATCAATATCGGCACCAAAGCCGATAACTTGATCTTAAGCAACAAGATATTCCATCTATCCCTAAGTCTGCAAGTGCTGCTATATATAGTATGTTATAGTCTTCATACGCAAGAAATTTCTACCTAACTGTCAGTTGTTTTTGTGACTACAAATGCTTCTAGTTAGGATGTATACAATTTGTGGTTGTATAATATCCAGAATCACCCTACCTTATATGGGGAGTTAACCCTTAGAGTCGACAGTTTTTCTTAAACGCAGCAATAAGGTAACAGTGCTTTAAGCTCAACTTTCAGGTATCAATATTCTACACGCGAGCACAGGTGAACCCATTATCTTGTACAGCAAAAGCGTGGTTATAATAGTAAAGGGGACGGTTAGATTCCGTAATTAAATTTTGCTTAAATAAATTTTTAAAATATACCAAATACTTTTACTCCATTTTTATCTATTCAAAGTAATTAATTTCATATTAAATAAAATAACAAACTTAGATAAAAAAGCATTTAAATAACATTTTTATACTCTTATAAAAACTTTGGTCTACTAAATGAAATTAAGGTTGAACAATTTTATTAGAGCTCATGTCGCCAAAACATGAATTCCGAGAAAAAGTTAATAGATAAATAAAAACCATATTTTTGCCATTACATGTGATTGTGTCAGTTCTATTTTTTGATTCGAATAGAATCCCACAAGCCTTTGGCAAATTACTCATACCACTTGGTCACTGTAGTGACATCATAAAAAGCATGTAAAAAATGGCTTCTTTCTTTTCGGCAGCCATTAAAATAGACTTCTTACCATGTGAATACAACCTTGAGCGTGAGTTTCATATAACAGACATTTTAATACTTTGAAATTTATAATGTGAATGGAATATGAACGAATGGAATGGAATGCAAGCCGAAATGAGTGGCTTAAATCTGCTTGGTTAACTGAAATATATACCATTTCGCATTATAACAGATATACGCCTCAATCTCAATTATTATTTATATTATTGTGTTTTTATGCGAAGGGCTATTATGCGGAAAATCTACTATTATCACACATACTCAAATAAGGCGTACGAGTATGTAAAATATACTGTCAGACGCAGGAAACACACAACTTACAAAAGCTGAAAGGAATATGTTTTATATTAAACAATACAATGTCTGTCTGTTGTCAACTGCAGGAATTGTTTTTTGTTTCTTACATTTTTTATCTTTTTTTGTTATTATATCTATATTTATCACTCATTCAGTTTATTGGTAAAGAGTTAAAGTAGGTATTTTGTTTTTAAATAGATTGTCAAATATTTAAATTTATATTCGGTTTGATTTGGTTCCTCTTTAACATATAAATATGTTAATCATATTTTATGTAACGGCAGCTTTATGAAGCTGATATCATTTGCATTGATTAAAATATTCATTGCTGTCATTGCCATTGTTGCTGTTGATGCTATTACCTTGCAATCCAGTCGGTTGCTGTAAATTACTTTACATAAATCCTTGAATTAGTTAAATGTCCTTACAATGAAATCATGCTCGCCTTGTGAAGTGGTGTAGGGGAATTTAAAGACTTTCGACTGCATACATTTATATCTCACAGGCTTATCAACATCTTAATCTTAATTGAGAAATTTGCTGATGTGATGTTAATGTACAACGTGTTGTAGTGGAAGTTGTTGTTGTTTTGTTTAAAGTGTTAATTTTTACGATAAGGTTGGAGTAAAGTTTAAACTGTTAACTAAGTATTAGTATTATATGGTATAATGTTTTAATTACAGTTTTAATTATAGCTTTAAGAATTATTATGCTAATTTTGAATGTTATGTATCAGTGGAAACATAATTAATATTAAGCAAATAAATTATGTTTTTAATTTTGAAATTTAATATGTATATTTCTTTATTTTTAGCACTGGGAAATTACAACAAATTACAAGAACTATCATATTTATCTACGCATAAAATGAGAGAAAGACACTTAAGTAATTATGCATTGCATAATAACAGAAAATATTTGTATGAATATTATAAACATCCAAAAGTAATGCAACACCTACTAAATAATAATATATGCAATAAACCCAAATCTTGTATAAATTTAAATATGAAAATTTGCTCAATCTATAACATATCCTACAAAGGATTTAAAAATGCAAAGCTCCAATTGCAAAGACGCTTAATTGCAGTCAAATATATACTTTTCCGGGAATAAAAATTCACTATAAAAACAAAAAGTAACTTCTAATTTTTAGTTTATTTTTCCTTCCTTCATTTGAATCTTCTATTTTTTATTTTATATTTTATTTATATATATTTTATTTACTTATATTTTTTTTTTCATTTATACCAAACCTTAGTAATTTTAGTTACGTTTTCATTTCGTCAAAAGTAAGTTTCGAAATTTTGAAAGTTAATTTCGTTTAAAAACAATGCGTGTTCCTCCTGTGACGTTGAAAGCACGGAATTTGTAATTCAAATTAGTAGACAAAAAAATTCGTTAAATATATTCGGAAATTATTTACATAAAAACTATGATAACAAGACTTTACAACACGGAAGAAGACCCCGCTTTGTGTTCAATAATTTGGGGTGCTAATTTAACGGCAACGTCTGGCGGTCGTAACGGTAATGCGGATGGAATAAGCGCAACACCAACTTTGGATGGAAATTTTGGGAACAGCGGTGATAATTTACGTGATGACTTTTTCATCGCAAATGAGGTAAGTGCTTGTATACTCTACGGTATAATGTAAGGAAACTTCGAAATTATTTTGAAACTTCTTGAAGCAATTTTGATGTTCAGGTTTTCATTTTTTTTCAACTAGTCAAAAAAATTGATGTTAAAGACATTCTTTGTGATATTGATTAAGGTTTACTTTAGAACTTAAGTTTTAAGGATTTATTAAAACGATATGATTAACTTTCATTCAGTTTTATATGATTATTTTTCTTTATTCATGCACCAATAATATGCCAATGTACTAATTATTCTCTTATACCAATATATAAGTATATATATTATACAATAACCTAGGTTTAAAACAATTAACCTACGTAAGTGTACAAAATTAATATGATAAAATGATTTACAGATGTCCTTGCGCTTTCCACAAGGGTAGGTTAGATTAGGTGCATATAACTGTGTCTAGCGGACGAACTTATTTAAACCATAGGGAGATAATAGGATACCACTGTTTAAAATGTAGCCTTAACTGCTTAAGGCCACCTAATGTACCTACGTAAGCATTGCGTTACCACTGTTTGAATTGCGGTCTTAACTGTTTATCTTTTTGAATAATAATGACACTTTTATAAAGCGCAGGATATTCTTAATTTAAGCACTGGACACGTCTGTAATAGAGCTAAAGTCATGTTTGGCAAAGAATTTCGTCTATCCATTATCGAGAGCTGCGCAGCTACAGGAAAAACAGTTCACTAACAAGGTTTAGTTTCAGAAAAGAGTGATGTATATCTTGTAAACCCCTACACAAGTTCTACAAAATAACTGAGTGATCCGAGAGGCAATTATTCCACAGCAGCGTACTTTAAGATTTTATTTGCCTTTGTTTTGTCGGTGTCAGATTAAAATAACTTCGAATGGATAATAGTATTTCCATATTACTGTAGTTTAAACAAATAGATAACATTAGATCATTGTGATTTCTAAAGACCAAATACCCTGATAGCTTATTCGATTGTTTTCACTTTAATTAAAGCATTACGTATTTCTAAAGGTCTCTCTCTATTACCAGAAATTTTTCTTCCAATATGTATGTATTTATATAAATGTGTCTTCGTATGTAATAGAATATCTAGTAATTTTTGACAAGACTTAATCCAATGTCTGTTTGTATTACCGGAATCATTCTTTCCAAACTTAAGCCGACACCTAGAAAATAAATATCTAATAGAAGAACTAGTGATTTTTGACTAGACTTAATCCAAACGTCACCTTGATGCCTTTAGTAGCCCAAGTTTTTTATGCAAAATTGATTGCATTTTAAATCTGCGCTTAAAAGTATCTCAGAAATCTTTTATACTCTTTTTTAACTCGAGGTATTTTCAAAACCCCTCTTTACACCTTGACTAGATTATATTTATATTAATTTATTTGCATTTAAGCTAATATCTTTTTATCTTATCTAATATTTAGAAAAGATTCAATTTTCATAAATTTTAAATAACTTTAAATAAAATAAGCTGATTGCTTTCGTAACAATAATAAGTTAATCATTTTAAGTATCCTTTAAAATTTTTCATCTGAAGTTACTTACTCCGAGAGTCTGCGAAAAGTGTCAGTAAAAGTCAATATGTGCACACTTTTGACTTCAACTTCTTCAGCACACTTAAATTAATTCTATTGACGGTATTTAAATTCCAAATCCACGACACAAGAATCAATAAAATGCAAATTTATTAGGACAACATTTAAAGTTTAACAACTCAAAATGAACACAGACAGATTTTTGAAATTATTTTGATTTTATTAAATTTTCACTGAAATTTAATAGCAGTCGAAATGAGCAGCATCCATTGCAAGGAATGTGTAACTGTGTCACTTTTCACAGTGGAAAATCTTCAGAAAAATTGATTTTCTCTATGTAAGCCACAGCCTGTCTGACTGCCAACAACGACATTGACAGGATTCATTTATTCATTTGTTTTGCAGTCAAAATTCTCAGAAGGTGGGCCCGCAACGTGCATGGCCTAGAAGAAACCTTTTTGGTAGTATTTGTTTAAAAATGAGTACGACTTTCCTGCTACTTTTGTTTCTAGGTTGTGCTGTATCTAATACACTTTATCTACATTTTAGTCAAAAATAAAGGAAAGCATTGACGTTTTCTGTACTTAACTGAATATTTTATTTGACTTTTTTTACTTCTACTTTTGCTGTATATTTTATTTTTATATTTATTTTTATTTTTATAGAGTGTGGAGGACCCACGTACAGAAGCGTTACGTGAATACTCATATGGCATTATTTTGCCTATTATCTGCGCGCTCGGCATCATTGGCAATGTGCTAAATCTGATTGTACTTACACGCAGGAATATGCGGGGCACGGCCTACATTTACATGAGAGGTAAGTAATTTGTATATAAAATATATATATTAAATCGGAATAAAAAATTTTTTTGTGCTGTTTTTTGGTAAATAAATTTAAAAAATTTTTTGCTTAAATAAATTTTAGTAAAGTTTAAAAGTAAATTTTTTCAAAAAATTTAAGTTAGATTGTATGTAGCTGAATATATATATATATATATATAGAGCCCTGAAATTATTTGCGAAATCTGACAGTCTTACTAACACCACGTTATCAAATCTCAGAATGGTTACAGGCTCCTCGGGGAGATATGCAGATCTGAGGTCTAATGAAGTGATAAACAAAAAACCAGTCAAGGCACAAAGAGGGGTTTTGTAGAAACCTCGCAATTAATAGAGAGTAAAAGTGCTCAGGCGCACTGACTCAACTCAACTAGCCTCAATATAGATGAATATATCTATTTAAATCTATTTATTTTATAACACAACAAGTACAATACTTAATTATGAACAACAAAGATGATACGAACTCCAAGTTCGAATTATACAAAATAAGTTTGCATTGAACTTCTGTACTAACACATGAGTTCATAATTCAAAGGTGACACGGCTTACCTATATGCGGACAATTAAACCAATTCATTTTCTAAAGATCACTGCTGACGAATATTTGGCTATATCCAAACTGCTACGTGATGAACCCAAGAACTTACTTAGGTGAACTGAAGTGAGGATTAACTCCTTCTCAATTAGACAAAAAAACTATTTTGATGACACATTTCTTGTAAATCTGTGTAGAAGATTGAACACATTGGAACTAACCGGACTTCCTTAGATACAAGTGTAAATCAAAACTAATCTTAGAACTACTGCTGTGTATATAAAAGAGTGAGGCACCCGAAAACGTAAGCCTGGTTCTCGACAAGTCTGGACATAGACGCAACAGATGCGTCGGTGTCTTGAGCACCGGTAAACATATATTGAAGGAAATTCAACAGCCCAAGAATTTTTTTGGTTAAAGAATTTTATTTATATATAAAAATTTTCTTACTATTGCCACTACAACCGTGTTAATTGAAATTCGATTTTTAGTCATATCTATATCTGATTGTTTTTAATTTTATTAAAACTCAACTAATATACATTGGAAAATATATGGATCAGAGAATATTAGTACCAGCAGAAATGTGTTGTGCAAGACGTTGTGCAAGAGGTTTCATTTACGAGTTCCTAAAATACTTTTTTGGGAGCAGCTCAAATTTTCACTAGTGATCTAAAATCACAGTACACAGGCATATGAAGAAGATCGTCTGTCACATGTGTACAATTACAAATGTCTATATAATATAAATGTATGCACAAACGTCAACCTCAGCCTACTCTTGGCGACGATCCCCGTTTTTTACGAATGAGCCTTAATGACGACCAAGTTTTCAGCGGTATATCTGTTCCCATCCATCGGTATACTAGGGAAAATAATAGTTAACAACGACCGGATTACGGCAAGTTCGGAAGCTTTTTTCTTACTTATACTTTATATTAAGGCGGAAGCCCTGCCTCCGAACTTGAATGTCTTGGATTAATCTTATCTTATTACATCTGAAATTCAAAGATTTGTGTATTCACAAGAATATTAATGCATAATATGATTAAATCTTGAATAAAAGTTTCGTTCATCCATCATATTATCTGTTATCCGTCATTATCATCATGTTATCAAAGTAAACTTCTCTCTGCGGGACTGACTGAATTCTTAATAAAAGAGCAATTACTAGAGATTTTTTTATGTAAATTAAATTTAAAAATAATATCAATTTTATTGCAATATAATTATTTCATTACAGCACATGTTGCTTGTGGCACAATTACAATTACTTGACCGCATTTAGTGGCTTCAATTAGTGCGATGATTTTTATATGGTGACTTTAATTATTGCCAATATTCGTAATCAAAATGTTTCATTCACACAACTCGGGATATCTAGTAATGAAAAAATGACAACAATGAATATGAAAAACCATCGAAGATAAAAACACAAATGACTTTTTGTACCCGCATTCGGATACGGGTGCCATGAAGAGCGTTTTATTTGCTATGTCATTGACACCATTTCCTCCTATTGGCTACCTTTTTTTCCGTCATACATTACCAATTTTCTTTTGAATTGTTTGTTGTTGTTGTTGTATATTCCCTCTTTTATTTTTGTTTCGTGCTCACTTATCAGCAAATTTCATTAACACAAAGTGTCAATTTTTTCCGACGCGTCAAAATGATTTTCCAAATAACTTTTACTAGTCGAATTTTGTTTTATGATTTACGAGTGTTTTCCCCCTTGCAGGCATTAATTTCTTTTCAAAAAATTCAAATCGAATTTGCAAATCATTTTATATTTGTTCAAAATTTTCCAATGTTTTTATTGAAAGTATAAAAATAAACACAAAATATTAAGTATGCAATATAAAGAAAAGATATTTTGAACTTTTCTGCAGTTGAAAGGCAATTTCAGACCCTTTACTTGTGGCTCACATGAGCATTTGGAGTTTTTCACATAATTTTATTGTTCTTACGGCTTTGAAGCAAAATTGGGTGGAAAATTTGATCAAAATGTTTATTTGAAAATAAAAGCCATAAAATAAATTTATTAGTAAACAATAAGTTTTAATGATCAGTGCTTAACAAAAGGTTGCCAGATTTGTCAAGTAAGTTGATTAGGAAATTTTACTTTGGGGAAAAATAAAATAGAATTATTAAGTCGTTGTTAAAATATGTTTGCAAGTATTTTCAGCAAAATTAAAATATATGTTTTTTTTATAACTGACTTTATACCAACAATTTACTTTATTAAATACTTAATCAAAAAGCAAGTTGATACTTGAATGATAAGTAATTGCAGTATTAAAATCCTTCCAAAAATGTCTTACTCCTGTGTAGGTATTAATTTGTCTGGAAATGAAATATACTCAAACATTATTTGATATAAAATAAATTCAAAACTTGTATAACCATTAAAAGAGAATAAAAGCCCCGATAAATCAAATTCAATTAAAAGATAAGGCATTGAAGTTTAATGAACCCATCAACTGATATAGTTGGAACACAATGTAGACAAGCGTTGCTTAATATTCCTTCTAAGTAAAAATAATGCATTTTAAAAGTGTGCCTACTTTATTTAACTTTTATTTAAATAAACAAAATTAAGAGAATATTATAGCTTATATCAACACCGCGTTATCAAATTTCAGAATAGTTACAAGCTTCAAGGGGAGATATGCAGATCAGAGATCAGTTATTGCTTAGTATGATGAAGTGATAAACAATAATCCAGTGAAGGCGTAGGAAGGGGTTATGAAGAAACCTCGCAGTGAATAAAAAGTAAAAGTGCTCAAGTGCACTGACTCAAGTAGCCTCAACATTATAATAATACAATAATTTTTATAAAATTTATCATTTTTATACTTATATTAAACTACTCAATAATGGATATATAACAGTCTAATACTGAAGTGAAAAACATAGTATAGCTAGTTATAGTTACTAATAACTATATACATATAGTTTATATATTTAAACAAATCTATACTAACATAAAAAAAATTTAAAAATTATAATGATATAGATAGTGACTATTTATTTTACTTAACAGAAACTATTATATATAATAGCAAGGCTTCGAATAGTACTGAATTGCAACAACAAAAATTTTTTATTATTTTAATTAATTAAAGTTTTGGCTGACCATTCAGCTGTTTCATGTATTGCCAATTACCCACTTATCATTATAAAGATTTTAAATTTTTTACTTAATTCTCTATATATATATTTGATTGCCAGATACGTATACGATACAATATTCGAACCAATACTATAGGTTGCCATTGTGGTTGCGATATTTACAACTAATTCATACTGCTATCAATAGTACGACAAGGTTGAAAGCACTATTGAGACACACATAGTGTGAGACTTGAACCCACTAAAAGCACCTCTTAGGAACGCGCTGAGACGATCCCAGCTATCATACTATTAAAGGCTTTCGACTAACATCGCATTCTAGTAATCACGAAGTGAAACATAAGAAGTTTAATATTTGAATTCTCAAAGCTATTTAAGCTGAAATATACATTGCTTCATCATTTTATTTTGGACCTCCACAAGTTAAACTTATCAAAAATGGAAGGAGCAATACAACTGGTTGCCTCTTATTATTGAGATATATATTGGAATGTTATTGAGATTGAGATATATTAAGTAATATTATTATCGATTTCCAGCATAAGTATAGAACTACATCGGTAAAAATACACAAAACCAGAGCTCCAAATAACTATCTTGTTTGAATAATTAAAGAAACTTATTAATTTTCATAATTAGCCATTTAATAAAATAAAGTATTTCATTATAACTTTTTTGTTTTTTTTTTAACTTCAAACATAAAGCATTTTCAACAAGACTTCCTTCGTGAGAATTATCAAATGAATAAGATTGCATTATGATAAAATCTCAAAAATTGAAAAAACCAAACTTATTTCACATTTTCAAATCCCATATACATACATACAATAATATATTCATTTGAAATACATGCATATCCTCTTCAGCATATCATTAATCTATATAAACTCACATAATGCAAAACTTTTAAAATATTTCGTAGCTCATTAAAGGACTACCATGAAATGCTTCTAAGCTCCTGCTGCACATTTCAAATAAAATTTTAATTATGTATCCTTTTTGTATCCTTTTTTCGTAAAATTTCGCAAAATTATAATGCAAAATTAAATGAATTTTTTTTTAGAAACGGTAAAGAAATCCTTAAAATGTCAGATTATGTGACTCTACGTTAAAATAAATTAAATAATTGCATAAAATATTTATGGGATCTTTTAGGAAACAAAAGCGAAAAAACTCATTTGCATTTCGCAATAATTTAATTTAATATTTAGCCAAAATTTACTTAAACTGGTATTTAAAATTTTATAATTCTACTAATGCTACTTACTTAAATAAGCCGCAGATAAAAAACATTAGGTTTATGGTGC